TATATGAGACATGGAGGCTGGTGGCATGCTAATTAGCATGCCCCAGCAGACTTGATTAATTGACTCTGCTCCGACCCATCATAATTATAGTGTATCGGAGCAGACTCCCTGAATGTCTACAGGCACCCTTTACTCTCAATATTCTTGTCAGAAAATCAGAGTAGCATTACACTCCCAAGACATATTTACAGGCATTCTTTTTCAAACACATATTGATAGTTAAAGAGCAGCTTCTTGTGTAAATTTTCCCCAAAAATTCCTTCCGTGGCCAGATTAAGTGGAATGCAGTTTCATTTATGCAATAAAAAGCATATTTTAAAGGCAAGTGTCAGCTCAGCCTATTTCTCCATTATATATGTATAATTTTTTTCTCAAAATATTTCACATAATTATTTCATTTTAAAAGGAAGTATTAAGACAGGTGACTTTTCTTATTCTTTATTTCATTGTATCATATTATGCAAGTATATACTCTATATGGGATTCTACTCCATTGCGTCCAAACATATTTTTGCTTGTAGGCTCTTAATAAACTGTTTTCATAATATGAAATGAACTCAACTACCGTATAATAGACTTCAAAATTCACCTTGCCATTGGAAAAACTCAAAAATACTTGGTGTAACACGTAAGTCATTTGAATCAGAGTAGTTACAGTGCCTCTTAATTCTCATATTATAAAGTAATTCTCATGCCAACCTGACTGCAGATCATATATCACTTAGACATTTCAGTTTGAGAATTGCTGCCTTATGGAATAAGATTTTCTATGATGGAACTTCAGCCAATAAAACTGCTTTTCTGCTTGCTACTCTTCTCTTGACAAATCTCTTGCGAATAATCTTTCTCTTGCTCTGCAATCTGGCTGTGGCTGTCCCTCTAGTTTTTCTCAGCTGACAGATCTTGATCACCCTGAATACTTTGAGCTGACCAGTAATTGCCCAGCTGATCATTCTGGTAAAAGTCATAGGCCTGGCGACTATCACTTCTGCTTGCCCTCTCACTATCAGATGATTGGCTGCTGTCATCTTTGTTGCCATGGACATACTTAGCTGACCAGCCCTTTTTACCATGCCAGGTGCCCTTTCTCCTTAGGACTCTGTCATGCCCTAGATAAACCCTGCCTGTATATCGTTCATCAGTTTCAGCATCACTTTTCTCACTCTTGGGACTTGTTTTTTTAACATTTTCATCACTACCAGGAGTATGAAAAGAATGTTTCTTTATTTGAATGTTATCAGTCTTCTGGACATTACCAGTATTAGTATATTTGAGATGTTCATGACCTGTGAAGAACTGAGTGTCATCTTTTGTCTCTGTATATCTGTGACCAGTATCTTTTGTCTTCCCTCTGGAATGTCCAGCACTAGTCTTGGCATTTGCACTGCTTCCAGGAACCTTAGTATGAGCAGTCCTTCCTTTTGTTATATCCTTTTTCCCTGCTGTAAGTCTAACATTAATAATATTTCCTTTCTTTTTTGGAACATTTGTGTAAGTGATCCCCAGCTTGCCTTTGGAAGCATTTCCATGACTCATATCAACATTTTTTTTGTGTGGTTTAGTGAAATCTGGTCCCCCCTTCTGAATACTAGACCTCCCACTAATGATGTTATGTTCACTGTCATCTTTCTTGTGTACTTTGGTGACATGTGGTTTCTGTATATGAGTACTAGCCCTTCCACTAGAGACAGTGACTTCACCTTTATCTTTTTTGTGTGTGTTGATGACATCTGTTTTTGGTACATGAGAGCCAACCCTTCCACTCAGGATAGTGACTTTACCTTTATCTTTCTTGTGCATCTTTCTACCTTTATCTGGTTCTTGCATGTAAGTACCAACCCTTCCACTAGGGAGAATGAGTTCACTTTTATCTTTTTTAAGCTGTTTTGTGAAACCAGAATCTACATGACTGCCAGCCTTCCCACTAACAATGTTACCTTCACCTGTCTTACGTGCTTTGATGATATCTGGTGTCTCAATGTGATTGCTAGTTCTTCCACTAAAGATATTAACTTCACTTTTATCTATCTTGTGTGGTCTGCTGACATCTGGTTCTTCTACATGACTATGAGTCCTTCCATTAATGATGTTTTCTTCACCTTTGTCATTCTTTTGTGGTCTAATGATATCTGGGCCTTCCATGTGACTACTAGTCTTTTCTTTGCCTTTACCTTTGTCGTCTTTATTTGCTTTGGTGGGACCTGGTCCCTCTATATGTATACTAGCCCTCTCAGTAAGGATGTTACCATAACCTTCATCATTCTTCTCTGGTTTAATGACATCTGGTTCTTTTACATGACTATTAGTCCTCCCACTAACTTCATCTTTTTTCCTATCACCTTTAGTGAGGTTAGGTCCTTCCACATGATTGCCCTTAATGACCTTAACTTCTCCTGTTTCTGAAAAATATGACTGATTATCCATGCCTTCTTTATCCACTTTAATATGCTCCATTCTTTCTGGAATATCTATAGAGTCAGTGTCTCCTATATCAAGATGGTCATCCCCATTGCCAGTGGCAAAATTGTCTTCATCCTTATCTAGAAAATTTGTGTAGCCACTTCCCTCATTGTCAAACTCTTTATCTCTGGTGCCATCCTTGTCTGTCATAGGAACCCCTGAATAACTATTGTTCACTGGGTCCTGATGAATGGCTTTATCTTTTTTTGGGATGTCCCTATAGCCATTACTACCCTGGGTTTCAATGGCATCTTTATCTTTTTCTCTGGTGGCATTATAATCAGTACCCTCTGATTCATTAATACCTGTAAAGCCAGACTGATCTTTCTCTCTATCTTGTCCATATCTTTCTGTGTAACCACTGCTCTTTGCATCCTGATGGCTGCTACCTCTGGCATCGTGTTCAGTACCAGAAATGACAGTAACACCACCTTCAATTTGGTCTAAGAAATCAAGGTCACCACTGCCCTCTATGTCCACAGTGGTATTCCCAGTACCTTTCTCACTGTCATCTTTGTACACACTGACTTCTGAGTGAATTTGACGGGCATCCCAGTCACTGGTGTTTCCATTAACTCCAACTAATTTCTGCCTGTCAGAAATGCTTTTGCTGTCAGGCTTCCTGATAGTTCCATTCTCAAGAAGGTATTTACGGTCTTCACCTCCCTCTTGAACCTGGAAGTCTTCTGAAGGCTTCTTTGATTCATCTTCCTTTTTAAACTGGTGATCAGAAACTTGGCTTTTATCATATTCCTCACCTTTCTGAAATGTAGTGTAAAAGTGAAATGCATCATTTGATTTGAGGATATGGATAATCCTATGCAAGTTTCAGTACAAATTAATCTCATAATTCATTGCTCCTAACTAATTACTACAGCCTTTCCTTGAGAAGGGCATCTATAAGGGTTCTCTAAACCCATTAGATCAACTTATATGTTACAAGTTACGTGTAGAATCTTAAAATAAAAACAGGGGTTTTCAACCATTTTTAGTCTAAGTACCCCTGGCAGCTGGATACCAAGCGGGGGGGAGGGGGAAGGGGGGTTAGTGCATGGT